GCATCATCATCATCATCGTCATCATCATGACCATCAGCATCAGCATCAGCATCAGCAATATCATCATCATCATCATCATCATCATCATCATCATCATCATCATCAACCTCAGCATCATCACCATCATCATTATCATCATCATCGTCACCACCATCAGCATCACCATCACCATCACCAGCACCAGCACCATCATCATCATCATCATCATAATCATCATCATCACCGTCTGACCACGTTCCTGTCTTTGTACAGCTATGCCCTGGTTGTATCGGACCGCCGCGTATCCAACGATGGGTCACGGCTCATCCTGATTATTGTACGTTACTCGAGGCTGCCGCCGAGAAGTTCGGGCTCTCCGTCGACCCCTTCGAGAAACTTCAGCAATTGAAAGATTGCATGTTCTACATTAAAGATGTTCTCACTCGACGCTTGTATCGTCTTGGGCCAGTCACTCCTCAACAACGTATTGCTGTTTGTCTTAAGCTACTTCGTTGTCTTCGGTCTGGCTCCATGGCTAATTGTGTGCGCAAATGTTTAGCTGCTTACCCTGTCTTGGATCGGTTTGCTACCCCCGACGGTTTTACTGATCGTATTGGCTTTCACCAGCATGTAGCTGAACTCCATCTTGAAGTTCTCCAGGAGGATCTCCAAAGGGCCCTTGAGGAACATGATGGTGTACCTATAGCCAGAACCGACCCTGTCATTGCACGTATCCAGCAAAACATGCGGAGCTGGAACCCGAAACGACGACGAGTTTCTCTTGCAGGTTGTGTGGCTGATGATGGCCAACCTCAGTCTTTTGAAGATAGTGTTGCCAGTCTTCGTAGACATTGGGCTGCAGTGCATAGAGCCCCACCAGTTGCAGGGGGAAACCCTTGCCCCCTCGGTGCTGCGATAGGTGCTTCCACGGACCAAGCACGGCGTCTTTTAGAGCTGCACATCGGGACGGTGAGCAGCGGCATAGAGTGGGAGATCGACTCGTCAGTTTTCAGTGGTTTGATTTCTCTCAGGAAGCGTGATACGGCCCCTGGTCCCGACGGCATTCCTTACTCGGCATGGCGGTGTGGTGGAACTCTCACTCGTGATGCGCTATATGAAGCATATGTGGCCTTGTTACGAGGCACTCGCCTCCCACATGCTTTCAACCATGGCTACGTGGTATTCCCTCCTAAGAATGTTGAAGAAGATACCCTCACGGTTCTTCGTGGTCCTGCCCAGACCAGACCCATTGTGCTCTCGAACACAGATAACAAGTTGATTTCTGGAGGCCTCTCGGTCCCCCTGGGACTTCAAGCTCGGTTTTCGGTGGTCCCGTTCCAGACTGGTGGCATCAAAAAACGCAATATCCTCGACAACGTCTTTGCTCTTGAAGGGTCGCTTTTGGAATATGCCTGTTACAAGGGGTTCGAGTGTGCGGGCCTTTTCCTCTTAGACCTGGCTGCTGCGTTTCCCTCGCTTCTTCATTCTTGGATATTCTTCATTTTGAGCTCGCTGGGCATACCGTCTTACTATGTGGACGCCATTCGCGAGTTGTACACGGACATGAATGTCCAGATTCTGATGGGTGGAAGAGTCTTCAACGGATTTCAGATCGGGACGGGAGTGAAACAGGGATGCCCTCTCTCCGCCCTCATCTTCAACCTTTGCTTTGACCCGATGTTGAGGGTCATAGATAGGCTGGTCAAGCCTTTGCCAGGGCGTGCGCTCGCGTTCATGGATGACGTTGGCATCGCCTCGGGGGATATTGTGCGCGTGGTGGATAAGGTCCTCAGGCTCTTCCAGGTCTCGGAAGTCCTCACTGGCCTCAAGCTCAACTACTCCAAGTGCGTTGTCGTCGTTCCCTCTGAGGCTCTGATATCTCGGGTGAGTGAACGTCTGGGTGCTCGTGGGGTCCCTGTTGGTCGGCTCAATTTTCGCACGAATGGCAAATATCTGGGAGTCTGGGTTGGTCCTGATGGGCCCTCTGCGTCCTGGCGCGGTCCGACTCGGAAGTACATTGCTCGCGGGGATTATGTGAAGGGGCTAAAACTGGGTCTCAGTCTCGGCATTAAGGAGTACAATACCCTCGCTTTCCCTGTCCTCTCATATGTGTTACAACTTCTCCCTGTGCCCGACTTTGTGCGACAAGCGGAGCAGACTGTGCTTCAGCGGCTTACTTCGAGTCCACGGTTCGCGATCCCGACGGACACTTTACGACACTTCTCTGGTTACGGCTTTAAGTTCTGCCCGAGGCCGTTGGTACAGGAGAATCGTGCTGCCATGTTCCGTGCATGTGTATTCTCTGCTGCTGCTCAGGCTACGTTTGCAAAGCTGACGTATCTGGAGGATGAAGACTGGGACATCTTAGCTGTTCGTCGGTTCCCAAGTTGGCTCCAGAACAGTATGTGTGTCACTTGTTTACGTAATTTTCGTTGCCTGACGGCCATTCCGCGGTTCCACGATGAGCATAACGAGGATACCCAACACCTCCAGGCCAAGGTCACTCGTTTTCTTCGGTTCCGAGATCTGATGCCCTGTTCCAGGCTGCTTGTGCCCCGAATTCGGTATTTTGACCCCCAAGCCCCCGATTGGATCACGAACAGAGTTTTCCTGAATCTACGAATTGCAAATCGCCTCCTTGCACCGTCCACGGCAGTTGCTTATTTGAAGTCCATCTGCAACGCTTGGCCGACGACCAAGCGGTACCGTCAAGCGTGTCGCCCGTGCAGGTGCTGCGAGGTGGAGGGTGGGGATAGCATCCGCCACATGTTTGAGTGTCCAGTCCTTATCCCGGCCCTGTCTCGTGTCCTCCCTGTCCTTCCTGCTTCTTTCTCGTCTTGCTCTGCTCTGGTGCGTCTCTTTATCTCTGATGTCTCGCAGATGACGCAGGACCAAATGTTAGCCAGCCTGCTAGTTCATGATCTCGCATTTGCTACCTTTAATGCTCTTCGTCATCTTGGTCGTCAGGGCCCTGATGTCATTCCGAACCTTGTGAATGCTCGTGCCCGTGTGCTGTCCAAACGGTCCCGTCGCTGCAGAGACCTCTTTATGGCCCGTTAACATCATAATCATCATCATCACCATCATCATCATCATCGTCACCACCATCATCATCATCATCATCATCAACATCATCATCATCATCATCATCAGTGCCGCATGGTCCAGTCAGGTCAGGTGCGCCACTTTTGGGGCACGCGCAGGGTGTGCTAGGTGCGCCCGCGCACGTGACAGCACACATCGGGAAACAAGTCGCCACCCCAGCACCCTTGTCGAAAGCCGATGCGCAATCGCAGTGGGGAGGCCATCACGGTGTCTGGTGGGCCTGCGCACAGCAGGAAATGTGCCAGCACCCCCGCCGTCCTTGTCAACAACCAATTGACAGTGATCGCGGGGTGGCCACGCATGATCCAGATTTAGCTGCGAAGTGTAACTTGTATTGTCTTTTGACAGGGATGGTGGCCGAACGCGCAGCAGGCAATACGATATCCCCCCCGACGTCCCTGTCAACAAAAACAATGCAAAGTGCTCGCAGAGCCCACGAGCATGACCGAATATTTTGCCCCAGCATGTATTGCGAAGGCCTTACGGCTGGTGCCACCGACCCTGGACGACGACCCCCGCGATGGAAGAGACCTTCAGCAAGGTCAGGAGCAGACGCTCCCAAGAGTGCTCAAGAGGCTACACGAGGCCTCCAAGAGGTGTCCAGGAACCCCCACGCAGTGTTGAGAGTGTCTTGGCAGCCTTTGGGGGAGCCTCCTGGGGCTTCCTGGCGGTTCCTCGGGAGTGCCTGAGGGCCCCGTGGGGACCTCTGGGGGGCCTCTTGGGCCCCTTCGGCTCAACTACGACGATGCTTCATTTCGCTTTGGCTGGCGCGCTTGAGGATGATGAGCCTGTTTTCCACCACCACCACCACCACCACCACCACCACCACCACCACCATAAGTTGGAGGGGGGAAAGATGATGATGCTGATGATGATGATGAGGAGGAGGAGGAGGAGGAGGAGGAGGAGGAGGAGGGGGACCCCCCCTCCAATTTATGGTGGTGGTGGTGGAAAACACGCCCAACATGAGGAGGAGGGCCGGGATGCTTCTTGAAGTCTCTTCGGGAGCGCTCTCGCAGGTCTCTGGGGGGGAGTCTTGCGGGTGTCTTGGGCGCCTCCTGGGGCCTGGCCGTGCCCTGGGGGCGCCTGGGGGCCCGGCGTGGGCCTCTTGGGGGGCTTCGCGGACCCCCCTCCCTTGCGCGCGGAGCGCGCCAGGGGCGGCGCCGGAGGCGCCGCTAGGGGGCTCCAGCGCGGATCCAAGAAATCCGCGCGGACCTCCGAGTTTTTGTGTTTATGCAATTTTTCGTTCCCCTAGGGGTACTCCTGACCTGGGACCACACCCAGCGACCCCCGCCCTTCCTCCCCAGGACCCTCCCCCAGCGGGGAAGGGATCAAAGGGAAGGGGCTATCCTTCGACACCGTTGCGACGTTGCTCAATTTCGCTTTGGCCGCTCCGCTGTGGCTGGCGCGCTTAAGGAGGAGGGCCCAGGGAAAAGGGGGGAGCGTCGACGACGACGGCGACGGCGACGGCGACGACGGCGACGACGGCGACGACGACGACAACGACGACGACGACGAGTCAAACGAAACAGCCTCTCGCAAACGCTGACAGGGATGGTGGGGGAGAGTGTTTATTCATAGGGTGCAGTGTTAAACCTTCCTCGAAAGGGAAGAGCGGGGTTGGAAGAGGAAGTGCTCAAAACCACTCACGCCCTGAAGGGCTCGTGGGATTTTCCTCTCCAGCTCAGTGGGGGCCGTGCGCGGTGAGGAAGCGGGTGACCCAGTTCTGCCGAGGCGGGCGTGGGTGAACGTGTTTAGGCAGGGTGGTTGGTTGCCACAAGCCATTCCGTCCTGCGTTCCTTCCGTCTTGGCTTGCTATGTTGCAAGTTTCCATTGAGTTGTATGGTGCCATTGCGTTATATTGTCGCTCTCTTTGGTTTGCCGTTCCCGCTCTCTGTTTGGTGACGGCTCCCCAGAACAACGACATCCACGGGGAGGGTATCTACAAATGGGATGATGGACGAAGGCTCTGCTGTTCTTCTCTGTGCGAGTGTATACCTGCTGGTATCCGCAGTGTGGTTCATGATCATGGGCGCCTCGCGCTGGACAGATCACAAGCACTCGTCAAGCATCCATTACTTGGTTTCATGCCGTGCGCTCTGGTGGGACAGTCGCGTGACCGTTGCCCTCGCTTTAGCTTGGCTTCCGTCGGTGCTGCTGGAGGTTTTTCAACACACAGCGCTTAGGCACACGATAAGCTTAGTTGCACGCATCGGTCCAGGAACCTTTCGTAGCTAACTCAAGCGGGAGGAGGAGGAGGAAGAGGAGGAGGAGGAGGAGGAGGAGAAGCAAAACACATGTTCGGCGCAGAAATTGACGCAGTAGTTTGTAGTCCGTGCGCTGATCTAGTGATAACATTGGCGTCTGCAACGTCTGCTGCAGGATCTCCGTGGCGCCATCCTGCTGCCGCCTTGGGGCCTCTTGGGATCATCCTGGAGGCAACCTCGGGCCCAGTAGGGTACTGTCTTTTGAGCCATCTTTGGCCACACTTGGGGGCCCGTTTATTCCCAATCGTGGCCCAGCGGGAGAACTCCTGAGACACTCCAGAAGGCTGGGTCCGCAGCCTGAGGAGCCATCTGATCCCTCAAACAGTGCCTGTACCACAGGATTCCTATCTCTTTCCCCAAGTGTCGGTATCGTTTAACCGATCCCCATCCCCATCCCCATCCCCATCCCCATCCCCTTCGAGATCCCATCCAAATTACCCCCCCAGCTGGGGATACACCCGTCGAAACCCGAAGGGAGCGACCTGAATCCCCATCTTGGGGGGTACATCGGCCAGTGGGGCCCAGGCCACGCCGCTGGGGCTGGGGATCGGTCAAACGATACTCGAAGCGGCTGACTCGATTTGCTGGGATCTCGGCCGGTGCCCGCCCGTCGCCGCCTCGTGCGCTGGCTGGGCCTGCCAGGTCTCCGCACGGTGCCCGCGCGCGCCGCTTCGTCGCCGCCGCGTGCGCCTCCTGGGCCTGCCAGGTCTTCGCCCTGTGGGCGCCCCATCGCCGCCTCGTCGCCGCCTCGTCGCCATTCGCGTGCGCCGACCCGGCTTCCCGGTCTCTCCGGCCAGTGCCCGCCCGTCCCGCGTGCGCTGGCTGGGCCGCCTGTTTTCCAGTCGGTGGGCTCTCGTTGCTGCCTCGTCGCCGCCCCGGGGCCCCTGCTGGGTCTGCCAGGGGTTCGGCCAGGGGGCGCGCGTCGCCGCCTCGTCGCCGCCCCGTGCGCGGGCTGAGTTTCTCGGGTTTTCGCCCCGCTGGACGCCCGCCGCCGCCTCGTCGCCGCTCTGAGATTGCACCCTGTAGATTCTCCTTTCTCAAAGGGTATTAGGATCTCCCCCCCCGGGGTTAACGGTACAGCTTTTCGTGTTGCAAATTACGTATGGTTTTGTTCCATCGTCCATCCTGAATATGGTTTCGTACCATCCCAGCCAGGCCAGTATCGGCCCCCCCCCTCATCCTCTGCAAAAGGCGCGTAGACTCGTTTATCACAAACCATCAGTTTTCAAGTGCATACGAAGTGCGCACGCGCGCGTCGTCGCGCGCGCATGCCGAAGCCTCTGAAATGCTTAAACAGTTTCGTACGGATTTCAAGCTCGAGAGTCACGAACACGTATAAAACACACGTGATTTCGCAACAAGGGTTTTCAAGGATAACCTGCGCCCGCGCTCGTGCGAATTCTTAAGAAAACCATCGGTTTTCAACATGTGAACCACATGCTACCAAACGGGCCTTTCGCGCGCGCATGTCGAAACTGCTCGAACGCCCTTGCGCGCGTGCTGTCGCACGAATTTTTTGCAACATATGGGACGACGTGCGCACCCTTGCGCGTCGTCGCGCGCGCATGTGGGAATCCGTCAAAAACCTTTCTTGGTTCCGCAAAGATTTCACGAACGAGTGCCCCGAAAGCATATGAAACACATGGTTTTGCAACAACAGTTCTCCAACAAGCCTGCGCTCGCGGGTTTGAGGATTCCTGAGAAAACCTATGTGTGTGTTTTGTTATACACAAATGTTTTAAACATTTTGACCGACTTCTCCGAAACGGGCCTCTCGCGCCGAACTCATCCGAACGCCTTTGCGCGCGTGCTTTGGGGGGGGGGGGCGCACGATCCGTGTCACATAATACCACGCGGGCCACTCGCGCGCGTCGGCCGCGCGCGCATATCGAATTCTTTCCCTTCATCGCCGACGCGAGAATATCATCATGTTTACCAGCGGGCGTGATCAACATCGGCGCCGTCATTGGCCTGGCCGTCGTCATCGCCACCATCGTCACCATCATCGCTATAATCATAATCGTGTCTACCGTTGTCGGCGTCGCCATGATACTGCGCCCGCCCAAAACACCGACTCGCACTGAAGTGCCCCCCAGGAGTCGGCACTACCGCGGCCGCATCGGTCGCGCCAAGCGAGCTGGCCGCTGTGCGCGCGAGCATGCGCAGGCTAGCGCGGACGCAGAGATTCACCAGTCAGTCAACGCCGAGCAATCATCGCAATCGCTGCCGCGTGGGTTTTGTAAACAAAGCTGTGGATGTGGGTGGGATGTTAGCAGGGCCATGGAATTTGTTAATTCATGTGTAAGAATCAATTGCGCCACATAGCTTATATCATACAGACCGCGCCACATAGATGGCATACACACACACACACATTATATAATATATATATAATATATATATATATATATATAATATAATATATATATATATATATATATTATGTTCATGCACACATCATAAACATAAAGAAGCCCCCCCTGCCCGGGCTGGCCCACCCCGCAATTGTCGGGGGAAACCCGCTGATACCCCCCCGTGTTTCGCTCCCCAGGGGCGCCCAGAGAGGCCATGAGGGTGCCAAAGCGAGCCAAGAGGATTCCAAGAGGCCCCCAAGACGGTGCAAGAAGGTCCCGAGCTGCCCAATACGGCCCAGGAGGACTCCCAGAGCCCTCCCAAGAGTGACCCAAGAGGCCCAAATCATTAAATTCTTTGGGGGAGGTGTGCATTTTTAGCATGTGCGACTTTTCAGCTTTCGCGGCTTTCAAGACGGTCCAAGAGGCTCCCCAACCTTCCCCAAGACAGCCCAAAACGTTCCCAAGAGGCCCCCGAGCCAGCCCGAGAGGGTGCAAAGACGGTCCAAGGGCCGCCTAAGACGGCCAAGTTGGCCCCAAGACGGCGCCCAATTCGGCCCCGAGTCGCCCAAGACGGCCCAAGATGGCCCCAAGACGGTCCAAGGCGAAGAGGCCTCCAAGAGCACTCCCATGAGGGCCCCCAGAAGCCACAATCGTTGAATTCCTTCGGCGAAGCGTGCATTTTGGCCCCCCTGCCATGGGAGCGGCACATTTCCCCCCCCCCCGGTTCCGTTTTTAGTCGCCAGGTGGGGGCCCACCCTTTTCTGGGCGCTTCGGGGCCGGGCCCGATGTTGGGAGGCCGATGTTGGGAGACCGCAAATCGCCCCCCCAAAGCGATCAGACAGCCGATCCGGCGGCCCAAGACGGCCCCGAGCCACCCCGAAGACGGCCCCCAGGGGTCTCAAATGGCTCAAGGAGCTTTTCAAACGGACCAAGAGGCCCCCTCAGACGGCCCAAGACGGCTCGAAGAGGACCCTGAGCGACAAGTGTCCCAAGAGGCAAATATTTTATTCTGCAGGTTTTTGACGGATTTTGACGTTCTTATCGCTTCGGGCTTCCGACGCTCCTACACGGTTCAAGAGGCGCCCACGAGCGCCTCGAAATGACCCAAGAGGGGACCAAGAAAACCCTTAAGACGGCGTGAGAGACCTTTCGGGAGCCCCAAGATGATTCGAGAGGGCCCCAGAACGGCCCAAGAGGCCTCCTTAGACGGCCCAAGAGGGGCCCCAGAGCGGCCCCAGAGGGCCCCAAGAGGGGAACACGAACACACAATTCCAGGCTTCCTCCCCCCCCCAGGCCCCCAGGAGGCCCAAAGAGGCCCCGACGAGGCGCCTCCACGTTCCCAAGAGCCCAAGAGGCCCCCCCACCCCAGAGGACCCCAAGAGGCCAGAAAGACGCCCCCCAGAAGACTTGGTTCCCGAGAGGCTTCCCACGAGGTGCCTACGAACACCCAAGAGGCTTCTGACACACAGCCCAGGCACCGTGGCAGGATTGTCCGAAGGCAATTCTATAGACATAGATATGCATACATACAAACATACATACATAGACAACAAGGCACACGTACATATCATGAATGTTTACACGTCTGTACATATCACTACACGGAAGGTCCCGCCCCCCAGGTGCCGGCCAATGCGGAGCCAGGTTCGGGCACCCCCGTTCTCATTTGAATTCATTCAGCTCCAGACGACGCGTCGTAGGAGCCCTTAAACACCTTTTACACGGCTTTTGTGTTACCATATCAAATGGCGGCAGGTCCCACGACTAACTTTAAGGGAACTCCCGAGTCAACCTGGCAGTACCCCACAGCAATGTGCGATGATAGGTCGTCGATCGCGACTAGAACATAAGCGCGCGCGAAGCGTTCGCGTAATACACACACATTCACACACACACGCACGCACGCACGCACGCA